TAGGTTAACGGTGCCAAGCACAGAAAGTATCTCTTGTAATAGCAGTAGTCTTAGCAATAAGGCGCCCATCAGCAATAGCAAACCTGTAAACTTAAAAATAAATATGAAAAAAGGTTGCAATGGCAAATGGCAGGTTGTTAAGAAGAGTAAGCATAGCTGCAAGTTACAAGTTGTACCTCATAACCAATCAGTCTTAAGTACAAATAGATTTAGTGTTATATCTGTCCCCGAAGCTTGTGTAGGTGATTGTAACAGTAATATTTCAGCTCAGACTAAAGTTGGAGTGAGCCAGACTCCTGAAGTAATAAGGTCTAAGCAAGTGAATCCACCCCTAAAGACTGTCAAACCTGGGGTGACACAAAAAAATCAATTAAAAAAACTATTTAGAAATGGTATATCTAATGTAACTAAATCCCGACCAGTAGTCAGAGTTCTCTCAGATAGCCACGGACGTTTTATAAGAGAGCTCCTTCATGATAAGTTAGGTAATAAGTTCAATGTTAGAGTTACGGTAAAGCCAAATGCTAAACTAAAACAAGTCCTAGAAGGGGATCTCAGTGAAATCCCAAGCATGTCTATTAATGATTGTTTAGTTTTGTTAGGTGGTACCAATGACATTGTCAGTCCCGGGCACGGTAGTACCATATGTAATGAGCTGGACGGAGTCCTGAAGGTGGCGCAGAATACGCGGGTGATGGTGGTGGGTTTGCCCTCGCGGTATGATCAACCATCATTAATCCCTACTGTCAATTCAATCAACAGCCAATTAGAGTCCCTCGTTGCTGCTCATAAAAATGCCTCGTTTGTATCCCTGGCCTCACTGGACCGTGCATGCTACACCAGGCATGGTCTCCATCTGGGTCCTCGGGGCAAGCGGCGGCTGTCTGAGCTGTTACGAGATAAAATTTGTCCATCTGCGCCCCTTCAAGCGGACTTGGTCTCCGGGGGGACGGAGCCCTCCAAGCCTGGACACAGCACTGGGCAGCGGGTCGACTCCGGCGGACCGGTGAGGAAGGCTCTGGGTGGCGCCAGTGTTTTCTTTAACAGGTCTTTTTTGGAGGCGGCTCGGAAACAGTACGGAGTCCCATGGATGGGTCCCAGGAAGACGTGGGGAGCATGCTTCGGAGCCGTATAAAAATAGTACATCAAAATATTAGAGGCATTGCTTCGAAATTAGAACTGTTGCAAGTTTTCCTCGACACAGAGATGCCAGATATTGTTTGCCTTACAGAACACAATTTAAAACCAAACGAATTTGAAATATTTAAACTGGAGGGGTTTAACAACGTTTCTTCATTCTGCAGAAAAGATCTTGAGAGAGGTGGAGTCTGTATACTCGCCAAAAATGGCCTTTGTTGTCAAAAAATTGATTTGGATTTGTATTGCCACGAGGGCGAGTGTGAATTAGCCGGAGCACTAATCGATTGTGGAGGAGAAACAGTTGTTCTCGTTGCAGGCTATAGACCACCTACAAATAACCATCAAATCTTTCTTGACTGCTTAGCAGAATGCCTCGATAAATACAATAATTACAAAAACAAAACCATAATCGTAGGAGATTTTAATATAGATTTGGCCACTAAATCGTTTACAGCCTCTCAATATATCACTACAATGGACTCCTTTGGACTGACCAACAGAGTTAAATCTTTTACTAGAGAATTCAAAAGCTCCAGAACTCTTATTGATCACGTGTTTACGAACAGTGAGGATGAGAATTTCAGATGTTCCGTGATAGTGTCAGCCCTCTCAGATCACCACGCCCAACTTGCTACATTAATACTTCCAAACACAAAAACATCGTCAGCGCCCAGATCAATATTTTGTAGAAAGTTTACACACTCAGCTAAAGAATATTTTGAGATATTGTTAAAGGAAGAAAATTGGGAATCAGTATACTCCCTAGATGATGTAAATGATAAATATTCAGCTTTCGAGACAACGTTAATTCACTTTTTTAACACCGCGTTTCCCAAGAGAGTCTTGAAAAACAAAATAGCAAAAGATAGGAGGAAAATAGTTCTTGGACCTGATACAATTGAGTTAGGAAGAACTGTTCGCGAACTTTATATAAAAACTAAGGATCTTAACTCAACACATTATATGAGACAATACTACTTTCACATGAAACAAAAATATAGATGCCAAATTAGACAGATAAAATCAGCCCAGATACTAAAAGAAATCAACGAATCCGACAACAAATCTAAAGCAATATGGCAAACAATAAAGAAAAATAAAAAATGTAAGGACAATGAAATGAAACCGATTAAGATTATCAATGACATTGGTCAAGTGGTAAGCGATCCCACCGCTGTTGCTGAGATGTTTAATACATTTTTCTTGAACGTTGGAAACAAGTCCAAAGGAGTCCACAGCTTAAACACTAAAAGCTCAGTAAGAGACTCGTTTTTCCTCTACAAAACAGATGAAATTGAGATCTTAAGAATAATTCATGAGATGAAAAATAAGAAGTCTTCCGGGGCGGACGAAATTTCTCCCAATATAATTAAAGAAATTGGACATATAATAGCAAAGCCCCTAGCAAACGTGGTCAACAGTTCTTTTGAAGCAGGAACCTTCCCTGACCTATTAAAGACCTCCGTTGTTAAACCACTGTATAAAAAAGGCATACCAACCACTTGTGATAACTACAGACCTATCACTCTAGTTTCGACCATTTCGAAAATATTTGAAAAAGTAGTAATAACAAGATTAGTACAATTTTTAGAAAGAAATAATATTATGTTTAAGAACCAATTTGGATTCGTAAAAGGGAAATCAACCACCAATGCAATGTTTACACTTATAACAAAAGTAGTACGGGCTCTTGACTCAGGAGAAAATGCTTTAGGGTTTTTCTTTGACCTGAGCAAGGCATTTGATACTGTAAATCACGATATGCTCATCAATAAACTAGAATCTATTGGTGTTAGGGGGCTGGCACAGGAGTGGTTCTCCTCATACCTTAGAAAGAGGGAGCAATTCGTTGAGGTCAGAGGTGTTGACAGTTCTGGGTGTGCTCGACCCTTTGTCTCCTCTCGGGACACCGTCACTTGTGGGGTTCCCCAGGGATCTGTCCTCGGACCTGTGCTGTTTCTGATCTATATCAATGAACTGCCTTCAAGTGTTGAGGCTGGAGAGGTCTGTCTTTTTGCGGATGACACGTCTTTAGCTCTGTCTGGCTCAACTTCCGAGGAATTAGAATTAAAATCTTTTATTGAGGCAAATAACGTAAAGCAGTGGTTTGACTCCAATTTATTAAATCTCAACCCCAACAAAACTGAATTGCTCCGTTTTTCAATCCAAGGCAATCCACACACAACTATCCTTTTAGACAACGTGGAAATTGAGTCCACAGAAGGCGTCAAGTTCCTTGGTTTAATATTAGACAAACACCTTCGTTTTTATGACCATATCGACAGTGTGTGTACGAGGGTTGGTTCCGGCATCTTTCTTTTAAAACAATTGTCAATTTTTTCTGATCAGAACGTCCTTATGACCGCCTATTATGGGGTCATTTTCCCTCATTTAGTATACGCAGTGCCGGCATGGGGATATGAGAATGGAAGGACCAGATTTCTATTTCGACTTCAAAAGAGAGCAATTCGAACCATCTTTAAAATCAGCTCACGAACTTCATGCAAAGATTTTTTCCAGTCTTCAAATATTTTAACTTTTCCATGCATATACATCCTTGAAACACTCTCTTTTCTGAAAAAGAACATTTCCATTTTTTCAAGTTCCAGATCATGTCCATATTCTTTGCGAAACAGTCTTAATCTTCAGATACCAAAACATTCAACCACCTTTTTCAAAAAACATCTTTATTATAACGGTATACTGCTTTTCAATGCACTGCCAACACATCTAAAAATTGAGTCAAACCCTGTTGTTTTTAAAAAATCACTTCGAAAATTACTGGTGTCCAAGTGTTACTACCGTGTCCGTGATTTTATTGCTGATGGGTAGTCATGGGCATATGGTATGCTTGGTTCATGAATTGATTACATGTAAATATTGTTTGTTTTAGTAGTTATTTTATAGTTTATAAGACAATTTGTATTTTTTTTATGTATATTGACTTAGCCAATGCATTCATGTAAATCTGGCCAAATAAATGATTTATGATTTATGATTTATGATTTATGATTTAAAATGGCGTAGAATAAGGCAGAGCTTTGTCAGGTTTGTCCCATTTTACAGCTAACATTCTTAATATTTCAGCTATTTATTATTCGATCTTTTTGAACTTGGTATAGTTTGATAGGGAAATAAAAATGCTATATAAATGTATTCTTTAATTTTTTTTCATAAAATCAGCCATTTCTGAGTAATTTAAGTTAGAAAATTTAAAATAGCCCATTTTGAAATTTTAAGTTGAATCGAGATGAATATTTTTCTAACATATGGCTTATTATAACCTTAACATACCTACCAAGTTTCATAAAGACCAATTGAAAAAAATCAAAGATAAAAATGTCTATGTAAAAAAATACAAAATGGCAAATATCAGGTTAACGAAGTGATTTTGGAAAAAAACATTATTCTTGATTTTCTCTTTATTAAAACCCAAGGAATTACTGCGTAAATTATGTCCACGTTTTTGAACACCATGTACTTCTGCACGGGTGTATTATGTTTTTATTTATATCAACGGATACACCATTTACAAAATATTAAATATATGTATGAAATAAATGAGGGAATGATATACCTCAGAGAAGGTTAATTTACCTTTAACCACTTTCGCCGAGATATAGTATATACATGCCACGAGTTTCACTGTATGCTAAAATACCAAAAGCTCGTATGTCAAAGGCCAGGCCACTGGCCCAGCACTGCTACTGCTGCCGCTGCCCATAACAACACCATTCCATTCCATTCCATATCCATTCCATTCCATTACTTTACTTATTACTTTACTTATGGTCAGGCCAGTTTGTCAGTCAGTCTACTCTATTCTATTTAGTTAGTGGTTTTGGTTTTACATTCATCTGCCATCTGCATGGATCATGTCATGGTAGATGGACTTTAGTTTCATTTGTACCTATTTTTAAGTGTTGATAAAACTCTTGTGTATTCAGAAGAAATCTGTGTATTAATTTGTGGGATGTACATTCAGTTTAATGAATCAAGATGACGATTTTATCTAAGAAAAAGGCCATTCAGGGGAAATCAGAAGTAGAATCTCCAGAAACTACAACTCACCACAATGGATCTCATTCTCATGGAATTTCCCTAGGATCCTTACCCAGTCACCCACAAGTATGTATTCAGATTTCTACCTCATCTTATTGTATAACATAATGTGACTGTCTTGTGGTTTGAGGAGCAAATATAACTTAACCACAAATTGAATTCTTAACAACAGGAGGGTCTTAAAATTCCTAGGCCTAGGCCTAGCCTAGGTGTAGGTTCAGTTCGGTGGTAGTAGTTGTTAATAGGCCTAATTGAATTTTAAGTTGGATCCATCATTTTGCATTAGTAGGCCTAGGAAGGTTCATGACACTCAACCGACTTTTCCTTATGAGATGGTTGGGATGTACAGAGAAATAGCCTAGGGTAGGTTGAGAGCTGTATACCCTGTAGTATCAGAGATTATTCCTAGGCCTTAGTTAATGGGCCTGTTTTTATTAGTAATAGAAGGTAGCCTATGATTGGCACAGAAACTTCTAATAAGTTATATTATGTTTTATTAATTAATTGTTTTAAGTAGGCCTATTCCTTAAAAATCTGAAGTAGGCCTAGGCCTAGAGCTTGCTTACTTAGTAGGTAGCTTGTCTTACACTGGTAAGTTGGTCTATCTTTAACTTTTTTATTCTTTATAATAAAAAAAAACAACCAACTAGGCTATTTCAAACAACTAGAGTTTTTATTGTTCAATTAGAGTTACTCAATTAAAACCCTCTGCAATCATAATAACACAACGGTTAATTAAGTAAAAATTATGGACTAGGCTATTACGCTTATTTTTAAGACTGCATTCGCCTACCCTAATAGGATACATTTAACTTACTAGGCCTATTTTTAAACTTGATCACTATGCCTTAAATAAATGTAAGTCAAATGTTCCGTACAGCTTAGTTACTACGATTGAACATTTAATGTTTATTTAAGTTATAGGCCTAGCCTAACTTACTGTATGTCAATTTACAGTTTTTGCATGGTGAATCCAAAAATGATATCAGTTTTGTTTTTATTATACCTGCAACAGGAAAAGAATTTAGAGTTTTGGTTAGTTTAACCCTCCGAGTGTCACGTGTTTTGGCCTTAATGTCAGCCTATTTTTTGCTCATTTGCAAGGTTTTATTAAAACTGATCTGAGAAGCTTAAAAACAATGTTAATTATACTGTTCTATATACCATTTTGTTTGGAAAATCTTGGGCTTCAATATTATATATAAAACATAAGGAAGATTAAAAAAAAAAAAAAATTTTTTGGTAAAAAAATGTATAATTTCGAAAATTTTCAAAAAAAAATAAGTTTGCGCTCAATGAAATTGTATAAATTATAGGCCTATAAATATTTGAAAATAGCCACTTTGTTCTAAATTTTATGAGGATTACAAATATATAATAATATAAGGAAGTAGATTTGCAAATAAAAAAGTTATGGGCAAAAAACAGATTTCAGTACATAGCGTTTAGCTAAGAATGCATAGCCCAACCATAGCTAGGAATCTGGCTGATAATTTACATCAATATCACTACCTACTTCTTCAGGATCATCAACCAGCACTTCAAAACCACTTAAATCTTCTTATAATGCACCACGTATATCACTACTTTTGATTTTTAACACTAAAACAATGATAAACGTAATAAAACACATCAGTCATCGGTCCGAGGGTAACCTAGCTGTTTACAAATACACGCACGTCAGCTCAGTCAGCTGTCTGCTACAATATTTTCGGAACTAAAATGAATAGTGCTTAGAGACAGACCTCTGCAGAAAGCTTAGAATATTACGGACAGAACGATACCTAACTCAATCCAGTACAGTCCGATTCAGTTAGTCATAGAGCCTTCGCCGTAAACAGTGTTCGCGAGTCGCTGCAGCGACGCACGACACTATACAAAGTGCGTTACGCGTCGCTGCAGCGACGCATGACACTCGGAGGGATAACCCTATGTCTATGTACCGTACATTAGAAGAGCTCCCGGTTGCATGCCCATACACTACTGTTCAGACACAAACTGTGTTTTCCTGAATCTTAATTTCTAATAGGTAACATTGATAAAGACATTAGGCTATAAGCTAAGTTAGATGTAATTTTCCATCAACAGACAATAAGAGGTTTGTGATCACTCTTAAGGATAAAATGCTTCCCATACAATGGTGCAATTTCTTAACACCATAAACTACAGCTAATGCCTCCTTGTCGATTTGTGAATAGTTTTGGTCTGCGTGGTTCAATTTACGTGATGCAAAACTTCTTTTCAGCATCATCTTTGTCTATTATGCTGAGAATACAACCTAGATCATAGTTACTAGCATCTACTGTGAGTATTACTGGTACTTGGGGTTCATGTGTAGTGTGCTAGCATAGGAGCCGCACACAATAGCCCTTTTACTTTCTTGAACGATTTTATACATTCATCGTCAAAACAAAAGTCTACATTTTTCTTCAAAAGGTCATACAAAGGTCTCAAAATACCCGCAATTTGGGGACAAACTTACAGTAATAGTTGACTAAACCCACAAATGATTTTACTTCTGTCACATTTCTTGGTATAGGGGCATCGACAATCGCTTAAAAGCGATAAAATTGTCTTAGCTTGTGAAGGTGTAAAGCCCATGTTTGTCTATAGTAAACCCCAAAAACTCCAATTTTTATGCGAACAATTTATTCTTATCTTGTTTCAAACACTGTGGAACCTACAGCCTTGAGGCGTGAACAAACTTCCCTTAGTCTATTTAAATGTACTTCGTCGTTTGGTCCTGATACAAATATCATAAAAAAAAACATCTTCACACCTTGTAAAGCTTGTTCGATGACTCTTTGAAAAATACCTAACTGCTGAGGCTAGATACTATAAGGCAATCTATTGTACGAAAACAATCCCTTGTGTGTACTGATTGTACACAACTTTTGTGATGACTCATCTAACCTTAACAGCATATAGGTGTGATGTAATTTTCCTGGCGGGCGACAAGTGGGAAATTACGCCACCGATAAGAAAAACGAGATCCCAGGATTCGCCCTAGTCTGGTCGCGGGGAGTTTCCCAGGAGTCGATAGTGATTCAGATAGCCTAAATTTGATAGCCCTGGTTGTCAGAGCTCGAGACAAACGTTGCGGGTTACTAAACACCACACTTGAAATCACCACTCTAGTCTGGGGCTTGTGGGGAAATTAATAATTTTGACTTGACTCTGTGGGCAATTATCTAAATGACACACTATTAGCTAACTTAACGAGAGAACAAGTAAGCTAAGTAGTCACCCCGCTTACCTACGGAGTTAAGTCGTCAACCTGCAACAAACAAGGTTAGTACAAGATGGGCCTAACCTAGCCTAATTCCCACAGAGTCCGAATTTATTAAACGAAAAGAAAACAAGTTAGCTTAAGTTGTCCAAGTGAGACACAAAACGAGGAAAAACTAAAACTTCTACTTCCTCACGTGTTCACCTTGAACCAACTTCGACAGAACTTTTCCAGCTGGAACCTGTCTGCTGGAACAAGTTTTAGGACGTTAAGGGAACAATAAAAGGGTTTAAGAATTAAAAGAGAAAGTCCCAAGACGGATTACGAAACGTTAATCGAAAATATATTTCACCAACTGCAATACTTTGGTACCAAATTAGTTGGTTAAAATGTATGACTAGATCGGAGAGTCAGGCCTAGCCTACGAACTTCGACAAAGTTATCCCAACCAAAAACTGGTAAGGTAAGGTACGAAAACCTGAGTCGTTTATTTCAAAACTTACCAAGATGACTAAAATTATTGTTTCCTCAAAACACTTTCACCACACCACCTTTAAATTACCGACAAGCTTTCAGAGCTCGCGAAACGTAACCGATTAAAACGACAACGACGAAGTTAAACAAAAACTCTTCAAACCGTAGACGAACGAACGAATGCCTCAAAAGCCGGGAATACGAATGACAATCCTTATTCTTCTCTCGTAGCCCGCCCTCAGACGCAGTCTAACAACCAAACAACCAAACTGACACCAACGTCGTCTGCGATCTTGGAATTTGAGGTTAGGTGCGATGTCAGTTTAGTGTCGCGACTCGGGCACAACAACAGCTTACATTCAGCTGTTTAAGTTTCGTGGTTTAGCCGTTATTTTACCCCCTACACATTTGACCCGTTACATAGGCTTGACTTAGGTCAATCTTACTGAAAAATTAAGGGTGTAAGATAGTGATCTGGGTCGATGATATTTAGGTGCCTATAGCATTTTCCTTTACTACAAGTCTTACTGGCTTATAACTACACTGCCCTAATTGGTCAGAGAAAACTTAAAATTCAAATTCAAATTCAAATTATTTATTAACTCATAACATCTTTTGGAGTACAATGTACATAGATAGGAGTTTTGTCAATATTTATAAAACTAATACTACACTGAAATATTTGATATAGGCTAACTAATTACAATTATTCAAACTTTAAAAATGTAATAGTAATACTGTAAACTAACTAAAGCATTTCATTTCATTCATTTGTACAAAAAGAAAAAATATCTGTCAATTCTTAAAACTAAGCTCAAACTACATGACGAAATACCAGTCTGGTCTGTATCAGATCAGGATATAGGCTTTGTCCTGTATATAATTCTACTACAGCAAAAAAAAAAAAAATAATAATAATATTATTAATATTAATATTACTTCAGGAAACTCATTTATTTGTTACCGGTACTTAACTAAACCTTCATCAAATTAATCAGCCTTGACACCTTTATTATGTTTATTATAGATAATAATCTACTTACGTATGCCAGTAGGTGTCAATTGTAGATAATTATGCTGTACATGTTTCGAGCCTAGTACGGCTCATCTTCAGCAGCATTCTTGTATGTAAAAATATTTCACATCGAGAGATGATTGTCTACTATTTACAGAAACCACATAATATACACAAACACAGAACATTTTAGCATGCTATTTACACGTATTTTCGTAGCGTACGCTCGTTTAGGTAAAACTCGACCGGACGACATTTGTAGGCCTACTGAGGAACACGGACACGGGAGGGGGAGAGTGACGTTACGTATCAGCTGACTGGTGGTTCTTATTTCCAGTTTTGTTATCT